GGATATTAACCCTTTGCGAGATGTACAGTTTGTGAATATTTTCTCCCATTCTGTAGACTGTATATTTACCACGTTGATTATTTCCTCTGCAGTGCTGAAACTTTTTAATTTAATTAAGTCCCATTTATTTATTTTTGTTGTTGCTATATTGGCCTTTGGGGTCTTAGTCACAAATTCCTTGCCTAAGCCAATGTCTAGAAGAGATTTTCCTATGGCTTCTTACAGAGTTTTTATGATTTCAGGTCTTACATTTAGGTCTTTAATTCATCTTGAGTTAATTTTTATATATGGCAAGAGATAGGTATGCTGTTTCATTCTTCTGCATGTGGCTATCCAATTTTCCCAGCACCATTTACTGAATACAGTATTCTTTCCCCAGTGTATATTACTCTCTGCCTTGTCTAAAGGCAGTTGGTCTTGGCTATATTTATTTCTGAGTTCTCTGTTCTGTTCCACTGGTATACCACACCATGTTGTTTTAGTTACTATAGTCTTGCAGTATAATTTGAAGCCAGGTAATGTGATGCCTCCAGATTTGTTCTTTTTGCTAAATTAAGATTGCTTCAGTTATTCAGGCTCTTTTTTGGTTCCATATGAAATTTAGGATTACTTTTTCTGGATCTGTGAAAAATGACATTGGTATTTTGATGGGAATTGTATTGAATCTGTAAATCACTTTGGGTGGTATGGACATTTTAACAATGTTGAATCTTCGAATCCATGAGCATGGGGTATTTTCCATTTGTGTCATCTATGATTTCTTTCATCAGTGTTTTGTAGTTCTCCTTGTAGAAATCTTTCACTTGTAGAGATCTACACTTGGTTAAGTATATCCTTAGGTATTTTATTTTTATTGATTTTTTGCAGCTCTGGAAATGGTACTGAGTTCTCGATCTGACTCTCAGCTTTATTGTTATTAGTATTTACAAATGTTCCTGATTTGTGCACATTGATTTTGTAGCCTTAGACTGTTGAATTTATTTATCAATTCTAAGAGTCTTTTGGTGGAGTCTTTAGAGTTTTCTAAATACAACATCATATCACTGACAAACAGGGATAATTTGACCTCCTTTTTCCTGATTCAGATGCCCTTTATATCTTTCTCTTGCCTGATTATTTTGGCTAGAACTTCCAGTATGTTAAATAGAAGTGGTGACACTGTGCGTACCTGTCTTACTCTAGTTCTTAGGGGAAATGCTTTCAGCTTTTCCCCATTCAGTACAGTGTTGGCTGTGGGTCCGTCATATACAGCTTTTATTATTTTGAAGTATGTTCCTTCTGTCTAGTTTTTTTTTTTTTTTTTTTTGAGACAGAGTCTCACTGTGTTGCCCGGGCTAGAGTGAGTGCCGTGGCGTCAGCCTAGCTCACAGCAACCTCAAATTCCTGGGCTCAAGTGATCCTCCTGCCTCAGCCTCCCGGGTAGCTGGGACTACAGGCATGTGTGCCACCATGCCCGGCTAATTTTTTCTATATATTTTTAGTTGTCCAATTAATTTCTTTCTAATTTTAGTAGAGACGGGGTCTCGCTCTTGCTCAGGCTGGTTTCGAACTCCGGAGCTCACACAATCCGCCCATCTCGGCCTCCCAGAGAGCTAGGATTACAGGCGTGAGCCACCACGCCCGGCCCCTTCTGTCTAGTTTTTTGAGAGTTTTTTTTTTATCATGAAGGGGTGCTGGCTTTTATTGAATGGGTTTTCCTTTGTAAGTTACTTGATGTTTTCACCTCCTGGCTCATAAGAGCTTCTCCTTGACAGAGATGTTGGCCAGTCTGATGACTATATGACTTGGTGATCCCCTTTTTCAATGACTCTCCCAGGTGTTTGTTGAGCTTCTTGTATCTGGATGTCTAAATCTCTGACAAGACCAGGGAAATTTTCCTCAATTATTCCCTCAAATAGGTTTTCCAGGCCTTTTGCTTTTTCTTCTTCACCCTCTGGGATGCCTATGGTTCTTTGTTTTTGTTTTTCATTCTTTTTACTTCAGAATATTACAGGGGTACAAATGTTTAGGTTACATATATTGCCTTTGCCCCACCTGAGTTTTGTTTATTTTTTTTTTTGTCAGTTAACCAGTGTTTATTGAACACCTGCTTCGGGCCAGGTTCTAGAAAGGAAGAGTCAGAACTGACACACTCTGCCCTGTGACTCTTACTCTCCAGTGAGGGAAACTCCGTGGAACCCTGGAGCCTCTGACTGCTAGAATGAGGTCAGCCGGCCCAATTTCTTTGTTTACAGTTGAGGAAGAAACTGCAGCCTGTGGGTGGGAGGGATGAGCCTCTCTCATGCTTGTCTGTGTAGTGGGGTCTTCCCTGTGACAGCAGCCATAGGTAATCCATGTTCAGGGCTGGAGTTGGGTCCAGACACACATCTCGCAGTTGGCAGAAGCCAGCCTCTCAAACACGACAGTTCCCCTGCTGAAAACACGGGGGACCAGAGCAAGCTGACATCCCTGCCTCTTCTGCTGGATGCCCACTGCCTCCTGTAACACCTCGCAGTGGGGCTGGATGGAAAATCAGAAACAGGCTCAGATTCATCCAGAGAGGTTTGTAGCCCTCCACTTTGTCTTTGGCTGTTAGGAGATGATATGTTTCTAACTCTGCTTGTCACAGGATTCTTTTCTCCTTGTTTTAGCTTAAGGGCCTGTGTTGGAAGAAAGGCATGGAAACCCCCAGAGGCAACGAGTCTTAAAGCCTTTACACATGGGAGTGAGTAAGCTCTTCCTCCATGGGTGACTCTCATCGTCACTTTGCTTCTTTGAGTTTGGATCACCTTGTGTGTAAAATGAGCACAATCATGAACACCTGGGAACTCTCTAAGATTCTCCAAGACCTTCCACATCTCTCACAATCCAGGAAAGCTTCCTGGATGTAGAGGACTTGAAGTAAAAAGTAGGCAGAATGGAGGCGAGAAAAGAGGAATGTTGCAGAACGAAGAAGCAGAGGACAGATAGTGCAAGATTGAGGAGCAATGCTAAGAATTTTGTATCTCATCCTTTTAGCAATAGGAGACCATTAAATGTTCTCGTATGGGAAAAGCATTAGTAGATTTATGTTTTTAAAACATCATTATGGATGTTGGATGGAGTATGACACTTAGGTAGACCACAGTGAATGCGGGGTGACTGGTGACTTAAGAGATGCTGCAGTCAAATTCTGTTGTGTTACTAAAAGAACTACTGCACCTACAGACTAATATCACAGCAGATAAGAACATCCTGAACATTCAAACACACCCAGCAGAGCACAAAAAACTGGCAGGGCTTTAAACAGAAAACTGCAGAAGCTTCTTTTGTTTTTACCTCCATTCCTCACCTCTTTTCCTTCCTATCAAAAAGTTTGTTTTAATTTTTTTCCACAATAAAATAA